ATTTTTGTATGATTGTGTTACTTAATGCGTGTATGAAAATTTCTTTTGGTTCGGGTTAACTGATGGTCGTTTCCTGTATAAATCAAAATTTATTGTTGTTCATTAGAATCATTGTTGAGATTTTTCAGCGCTTCGGACCTTGAGATTCAATTTTTCTTAATTTATTTTTTATTTTATATATACTGCAATAATTTTTTGGCGCCAAACGTGGGGCACAGCATTTATTTCTTTATGCGCCCGAAAAAAAAAGGATATAATAACGTATTTCCTCTATGCTAATGGCACATTGCACTTTCTAGTAAAATTAGTTTGAGCAATGAAGAGGCTCAAGGTATATTGCTTACAAGAAAATGAACTAGCAATGACAATAAATTGAACTACAATTTTTGTCCAATACCTAACCGTTTTTGGTTATATTTCTCACCGACAACAATCGAAATAAGTATTAAAGGAAACAGTTTTCTTTCAATTTTTTTTTACTTTTCTTTGCTCCAGAGGAAAATTACAATAAATGTTTAGACACTCATTCGTTAGCTAGAGAAATCTAAACAATTCCACGAATTTCAGCGGAAGTCCGTGTACGTTTATGAGGTCAGAAAAACATTGAAGAGTTTCAAATCAGGTACAAACTGTGCTAAAAAATTTGTCACTATCGCTACAGACAGCATGAGAACCACTACTCCAGCAGTAGTAGACAGAGTAAGATATGTAGCATTGAAGGATCAACGGATGGGAACGGCAATTCAACGGTTTTCGTCTTACCAGGAGGAAACATCGCGATTAGCAGTCATCTCCGAGACATAATTTGCTACTGAAAATTTCGGAATTAAGAGACCGTGAGTAGAAACAATAGTAAAATACTGCAATTTGCGCATAACGTGTAATGCAAATAGCATATTATAATCCGCATGGATTTTCCAGTTAATTGAGGGGAATATTAAACGCTCGCGTTTGATCTACATTTCACAATCAGGGCAATCAACTGGACGCTAATTTGGAATAACAGCTTGCATGTTTTAAATAAATAGTTGAATGCAAAAATCACCTAACAAAGTCCTTATCGCGAAGTTATTAAGGGCCAGATATTGTCAAATAGGTACTGAGCTTTTGTTAAAAAGGTTAGGAAAGAACGTTTAAATGAAAGTCATATACTTTATTGGAGGTGAAGCGGTTTGAGCATCTCCGAAGACCGAACTCCTCGAAGGTCCTGAAATGCATTAAGAGTTTAGTAAGGAAATATACAAGTAAACAAATGAATTCGTAATCGTGAACGAAAGAAATAAACATTCAGTAATATCATTCAGCTGAGAAAAGCGCAATGTGAAAATATTATCTATATGAAGGATATAAAAGGCATTATAAACAATTTTCATAATATTTTGACGTTTTTACAGAAAAGGTGTTTCCTAATTAATTCTATGATCATTCTTTCCAATAGGACTACAAAGATTATCATATTTTGATCGACTCAAAAATGTCGCCGTCCATGGGACTAACTGAGACAGATATTGAAAGGAATGTGTTATAATAATAATTACAGTGACATTCTATTACAGGGGGACTTTATTCGCATCAGATGAATACGTTAAAAGTTATAGGGGCGATAAAATTATTTAGGAATCATTCTCCGTAAAGTGAACAGCTTTTCTCGGCACAATATTGAGCTAATAAATTAATTTAAGTATTCGTAAAAGACTATTTTTGTATAATTTATTTTGTCTTTTCCGCCCTATGAAACTATACTAGCATTTAGAAGTTAATAGCATAAGACGATGTTACTTCAATTCGTTTTGTAAACCGTTAAATTTATCTTTGAACACTTCTCTTTAACTTTAGATCTTTTAGCGGGTTACTATTAGTCATACGTTTTACCGACACTCTGCAATAGAACGCATGGTACCATCTTTCTAAAAGTTTATAAGAATTATAGAAATCGATAGATCTGGGACAACAAATTTTTACGAGAAGACGCCAAAGTGAAAAGCCTGGAAGCCGAATTCACTCATTACAGACCTCCTTTATTGCGGCGTCTTGGTTAGCGTCGAGTTGTTAGCGGACGCCAGCACCACCATTTGAATATGCTAACACTAGAACACGTGTTAAACTACCCTAACGAGATATAATCAAAAGTTCCAAAGCGGTGACATTACATTTGCTATGGTACTGGCTAGGCCAGTTTCAATTTCATGCAATTTGGTTCATAAATAGCCGAATTAAGAAAGTAATCGTAAACGATTTACAAAAAGAAAAATACATGAATAGTCTTTGTCCGAAAAAAATTAGCAACTCCAGCCAAATTCGCGTTTCATCAATTTAACAAAAAAAATACGTCTACAAAAGAAGTTATATAAGTTGACCTTCGCAAACCAAAAACCTTGGGTAAATCTTTTCCACAGTCATTAATTCATAGTCAGGTGGTTTAATTAATGGCAATCAATTCTTTAAAACCCTAGGCTCCAATTTTGTGCAACAACGTCTTTTGGCGAATCTGTTCTCACAATTTACATACAATATTTACGTTTTCAACTTGCTTGTTGGTAATCAACTGTACACATAAGTGTAAAAATGAATAAAGCACAATAAGCCATAAATCAAAACTCAACTTTCATAATCACACTGATAATGACACTGATATAATATGCACACGCAGACACCCCCGCAAACTGTGCGCCATCTATTGAATGTTCCCAAAACTCATTGTATTGGCACAATTTTCCCCTTTAGGATCCCCTTTTAACTGCCGAAGTTTTCGTTAATTCAAAATTATAGTATGGAAACGAAAAACAAATGGTTTATTTGTGCTCATAATATATAAACATAGTATAATGATTTTCACTTTAACTTTATCCGGGTCGCGCAATGGATTCGAACAAAGCACAATTAATTGATTGAAAGTGACACAAATTTATCTCAAAACACATAAAACATAAAACAAAATCCCTAAAAGAAAGAAAAGATTATAAAGTTTGTTTGGACACATTGCCCCGCACGCAGACGGTCGACAATTAACAAAAAATTCAGAATTTACTTACAGTTTTTTCTCAATAATCCAAATAATTTGATTGTACAAGGTTTGCGGTACAAGGCGTACTAAAACTGACACGAAAACTCTCGCCGACAGCTTCATGAAACTTCACTTGCTTTATATCATAGAAGTAGATGACAAACAGAACTGCATTAATGAATAAGGTGAACAAATTTTCGGTGGTTGTTCGGATGATAGAAATTTTTAACTTTTAATGAGAAGAGAACGTTAACAAAAGGCCTTGCTTTACCGCACTGCTTCCTTTTTCAACTCGAAAAAACTTTTTCCGTAATCGGATAACACGCGTTAACTACTTACACAACTTTGGTGAACTTAATTCTGCATAGATTTATTATAAAAAGTGAACACCGAACATCCAATCACAATTCGCTTACTTAAATAAATGCTAACCAGGACGAAACGCGCCAAAAGTCCATACGAGACGCGCAATTTTTCGAAATATCTTTTCTCTTGACAGCGACAAAACAAGTCCCTTAGTTCATTTTGGCCTGATAGAACTTCTTATCGCAAACGACCCTATGTGTCTTACTTGCAACACCTTAGCTAGATTGAATAATTTTACAAAAGCGATCAAATTAAAACAAGAATTACACACTTATAAATTTCTTGTAAATCTTATAAATGTCTTGTTATTATTTTTGGGTGTTTAGATGGAAATAACGTCTACACTATAACGTTAAACTTAACGTGTGGTTTATCTGTAAAAAACATTATCTTTGCTCATACTGAATAACGCAAAATAACGATTATTACAGATAACCTGCACCCGGTTTGACGTTTCTGATGTATCAAAGGGTTGATTATTTAGGCCCGGTTTTACAATGTCAGTTTAAATTGCAGTTTAGTTTAACTGACAGATTTCAGAAACACGATTGGTCAACTTGTGAAATATTAGCCAATCAAATCCTTTAACCCTCAAGTTAACTATAAAATAACATTGTACAACTGGGCCTTAGTATGGGAAAAATAACGTTTTCTACAAATAAACTGAAGGTTAGGTTTAACGTTAGTGATACATCACAGAGCTGAAGATCTTAGTAAATAACTAAGTTGAGATTAACTGACGCAGAAGCGGAAACTTATTCGACATTAATTTTTCGTTTGGTTTTGACCCCTTCAATTTAACCATACTTTTGTTTTTTTAATTTTATAAAGAGAATTAAAATCATGCTACCACCTTCGCGCATTTATTAAAATTCGCAAACATTAAATTTCCATAACCATAAAACTAGAAATTAATGATGGGTAAAAGGAAACAGTGGCACACGTAATGCCACCTACAAAGTAAAGTTTAACGTTGCCTCTGCTAATTTAATTTCACGAATTAGGTACCTAATTTCTAATTCCTAAGGGAAGTTAATAAATAAACAGTTTTAACGCGACCGCGATAATAAGAAATAATGCGTCATAAAGTATAGCACAAGCCCGAGACATTTGCGTTACAACAGACAGGAATAATAAATCGGTTCATTATTCCCCGGCGCAGTAAAGTCCTTATTACGTTCACTAATAATTTAGCAAATAATTTCCAGAAATGGCTGTCATTTCATTTTAAGTCTTTGGGGTCCCAAAATTTTATTCGGGCTTAATTACGTTGTATGTTAGGGTTCCACTTACTCTGCCTGGAAGTGTTTTAAGAAGTTCACCTTAAAGATCGGTAAAATCAATGTAGACCTGTATTGCTATTAAATTTCCATTTACGTTCCATTTAACGCTACAGTCAATCTCAAAGGCAGTATAAACAAAACATCATACGGGATGGAAACTCACTCCATTAATGTTTCAGATATTTCATATTTTTGTGCAAATATCAATCTGCTTTGGAGATTATGTAAAAAATTTTTCTCCAATAAAATCGATAGTATCCTCTCAAACTGTAAGTAATGCGTTGCTTACGGGCTATCACTTGTAGTTCAATTTCAAATCTTAATCGGAGTTATAATTAAGTACTCACTTTCTGGATCAAAGCCGACGATAAACCCCGGACAGCGATGGCTTGCGCTCCTCCCAGCTTCGGTGTCGGGCCAGCAAACCCATCCATCAAACACCCCCGGACAATATAAACCTGCAAAAAATTATCTATTATGTATACATTTTTGCATCTTATAAATATTCAAAAAGCATAAAATTCAAATTTTCGTTTACTTAGACCACGAAACGAGAAAATAACGTTTATATTTCCGTTTTGGTAGACGTTTTATTATTAGGCAGGTAGGATACACTTAGCTCCTCCACAATATTAATTTTCCGCTGCTTTCCTCGGTATTGCAAACGAACAAACTGTTCGTAAAGAAAAGCACTCACCGGGGATTATATAAAATTTGATTAAAGTTCCTAATTTAGTTGGGAAACAATTTTGATCTTGGCTAATTTAACGCTAACAAAAAAAATTCAAAAGATAATTAATAAAGAAGTCATAAATTTCGTAGGTAATTCATCATGGTAGCCGATTGCAATAGGTATACTTTTATTTTCCCGATTCCATTCTATAAAAGCTCCGAACATTCTCTATCGCGGCGCATATGATTCGTCTTTAGATTAAGAGTTTTGATGGGAGTTATAAAGTTACTCGTTCAATCCATCACACTAAGCAGGTTTTCTTTGAATTTTTCAATTTATGATTTCCAGTACATTTCAGTATACGGTTTGTTTCCAAATACTTTTCTCACAAGTAGGTACTAACTGCTCTATATCAACGACAAACAGCGAGTTCTTTGATAGCGTTTTTTTTTCTGTCAATTTTCTATTTTGTAGAAATGTATCAATCAAAGGCCTCTAAGTAGTACATTTCATTTGATTATGAAGTAATTGGATTTAATAATGGACGAATTAGCAATAATTTAGCAATAACAGATCATTGAAATAATGCATGTACTATAACGGTGTAACTGACATATTAGGTTGGATTTAATTTTTTCGATTTTCCTGCTGTAAATTCTAACGTGTATTTCCAAACAAATTTCGGTTTTTATTACTGTATGGAATTTATCTGGATGATTGGAGTCAACAAAATATATGTCATTTTAACACCAACTTCAAATACACATCTAAGGCCCCCTGGATCCTTCGCGAAGAAATGCATTAACCCTGTTTCCATATGATTCGTTCTCTCTGGGACACACGGTATATGAATATGATTGCTTTGGCTTCCGTATTTTTATTTTCGTTCGTGTGCAATGTATTCAAGTGAAAAAAAGAATGATATTGTCAATTGATATAGCGCTGGTAACAGTTTAAGGAGCGTAAGAGATTTATTTTCTGTATTGATCACTAAAATTAGTAGTTGTTTAATTGCGATGCACATAAGTCACCTGAAACAACCCTCAGTTTTCACGGAGGATATGGGACTGAACATTTTAATTTTTGTGGAGAGAATTCGATAAAAAACTGAAAAGAAATACCGGCCGAATTAATCTCTTCATCATAACCTAATAGCATACTACTCTTTACTGTCGCTTTTATAAGTACCTACCTACCAGCCAACCTATTTAAAAAGCATGATAGAAAGATATGAATTCTTTTAGTAATGTGCGCCAGGGAGATTATTTATATATCGTCCTTATTTATGGCAGCAGAGGTTTTATATGTTTGGGAACTAAATTAATTAAATGAAGAAGTTTCATTGTAAATATGAAAAAAATTAGAAAGTTTCTCATTTTTACCTATGGTACCCGACTAGGGTCAATAGACCACCATATGTTTTTCGTTGTGTTTTATGCTGTATTGGATAACATTTGCTGTAACTTACTTTTGCCTCATTGCTGACGCATCAGTTATCGTTTTGTCTAACTTTCCATAAATATTGTTTTAAGTTCTTTTATACGTACGATTTTTCATATACAGCGTGTTCGAGATAAGAGAGTCAATTACACGTAACAAATGGATTCCTCGCTTTCTAGAACCTACAACAATAAGTGAAAACCTCAAGGCCATACCTAAAACTATACCAAATTTCAAAGATTTACACGATTCTTATGAATTCGTCCTAGACTATAATTAATTAATTAATTAATTAATAAACGTATATTTGTTTTAAGGCAATGCCTCATACAAAGAAATAGAGAGAGATATGATAGATAACTTAAACACATTATAAATTTCTAAATAATTATGACATAAAATAAACCATTTTTCTATAAATAAGTAAATCAACTATCATTCATTTAAACAAAATGATCTTATTCTAAATGCATTAAGTATATAATTATAAACACAGTTTAGTTGGGCTGCGTCCTTTACTTGTAGTAAGTGACAGATATTAGATTCGTCGTCCTCATCGATGCAATATTTTTTTAAATAAACGACCCTTATCGGTTGATATATTGGGCATTTAAAAATGAAGTGTATAAGATTTTCGTTTTCGTTAAGATTACATACTTGGCATTTGTTTATGTTATCTAGTTTGTAAAGCATATTTTTTATAAGAATGCGCGTCCCATTTTTGTAAGCCAGTCTGAGTTGTGCTACTGTTCTGATCTTTATAATTGGGACTTTAAACGTTAAATATGCTGACATTTCATAATTATGCTTCATAGCCTGTAATTTGTTGTAGTGGTCGTTAAATTTTGTACTCGTTACGATATCTGCAGATTTTAAAGTTGTGAAGTGTTGGTCAATTACATTTCTGATAGAGCTTTTAGTCATATGATGCGATTGCTGTAGCCAGGTGTTCCCATACCCCAGATTTTCTATAAAATGACGTATTTGTGATGCCCAGTTGTATTCAGCCGTATTCTGTTCCCAGGAGTCGAGGTGTTTCAACCGATTATAAAGCAAATTCGTATAAGACGTTGGTTTTTGTTTTAATACTTTCATCCACCAATTTAATGCTCGCGCCCATACGAAGTTACTAACATGCCTCGCGCCGGTTTCCAGGCGGAGCATATGATTAGGGGTAGTTTTCTGACATTGCAGAACGTCTTTGAGATACTTGGTGAGTATTCCTTCAAGCCCTTCCGGTTTAAAAACGGCCCATGTTTCAGCTCCATGCAGAGCGGTAGCTTGGACAACACTATGAAATAGTTTGAATTTTTCATTCCATGAACTCGATTTGCCTTTTATGAGGATTGCTTTAACATTACCGATTGCAACTAAGGCCTTCTTTTTTGCCTCTTTTGTTGCTTCATTAAATTTGCCCGTTGATGTAAATGTAACGCCAAGATATGAAAATTTATTTACAACTTCTAATGGATCGCGATCATAATAAAACTTAACAGTTTTTGAATGTGTCCAGTTTCTTTGAAATTTCATTATTTTAGTTTTGTTAGTATTTAACGTCAGACTATTTTCCTTACAATAATTGTATAAAATATTAATTTTCTTTTGCAAGTCTATGGGAGAATGGGAGAACAAAGCAATGTCGTCAGCATATGCAATTAACAAAATATCATTGTTCTGATCGATATTTAAACCACGAACTCCATGTGCTCGGAAATAACTCTCTATATCATTTATAAAAAGTGAAAACAGTATTGGAGATAGTTTTTCTCCCTGCAACACCCCTTCTGTGATAGGAATCGTATTACTTAAGTTGTTGTTCACTTTAACCTGTAAACTTGCATTCTTATACAGACTCTCTATCATTCTAATAACTTTTGCACTAATGCCATTATCATACAATTTCCTCCAAAGTATGTTATGGTTGATTCTGTCGAATGCTTGTTTAAAATCAATAAACATTACATATACTGCATTTCTTGCCAACCTTAGTTGTATATGAATAATTGCCATTAATGAGAATATGTTATCCGAAGTGCCTCTAGTTTTTCTAAATCCCATTTGGTATTCCTTTAGAATGGAAGATTCTTCAACAAAGTTGTAAATTCTATTGTATAGGATTTGGGTAAATAATTTTGTAACACTATTGGTTAGGGCTATACCTCTGTAATTTGCTGGATCATTTTTCGGTCCTTTCTTATGAATTGGCGTGATGATTATTATTGACCAAGAACGAGGTATTTTTTCTAATTCCCAAATATTGTTAAACATATTGAGCATATAATGTTCCCAGTTTGGTGGTAAGTGTTTATAAAATTCATTGGGTATTAAATCAAATCCCGGTGTTTTACCGAGTTTGGCCGACGCTATGCTGTTGTGAAGCTCGTTTAATGTTATAGGCGTATCTAAGTAATAATTAGAAACGTCAAAGTATAATGATACAGATGAATTCAAGTTTGCGTGATGTCTACGATAAAATTCTTCCCATTCCTCAAGTGTTACTTCGTTGATGTTTTCGCGACTTGTTTTCAAGTTTTTAACAACTTTCCAAAATTCACTACTATTATTAACATTAGCAAGAGTGTTAGATATGTTCTTATAATACACCTTTTTAGATTTATCCAATAGTTTATGATAGAGTTTTTTATGTAGCAAGTAATCATTCAAAGTAGCGTTATTCGGGGTAAGTTTGTACAGTTTTAAAAAATACTTGGTTTGTTTTCTCTGTTCGTAACACTCTGCGTTAAACCACGGTTGTTTTTCTCGTAATTTTTCATGTGCCTGTCCGTTGTAGACTTTCACTAAACTAAGTTTTTGTGCTATACATTTGATTGTATTTTCTAAGTTAATAGTTAATGCCGATGGATCAGTGTGGTGCATGTAGACATTTGGTGAGTGTCTAAGCTCCGTTTCGTAATCCCGACCCTTTAATTCATCCCAGAATAACCTATTGTATTGATTGAGCTTGTCACCTGATGATTGAGGGTGCTTTTGACAATTACTATTTATGTTTGAACTCGCAAGTTTAAGAATGCAAATACTGTGCTCTGTCTTCTCAAGTGTGGGTAGTATACGCAAATACCTAACATCTTGAATGGCTGACATATTGGCCCAAATTAAGTCTATAGTACTCTTACCATTCGCATTGGCGAACGTGAAATTCCCTGGGGCGTCGCCTTCAGTTCGGCCATTTAAGGTAAACAGTCCCACATCTTCCATCAGAGTTATAACCATTTTTCCCCTTTTGTTGATATAATGGTCGAGTGAGACCCTGGTTGCTTGTACATTGTAGCCTGTAATTGTCTCACGGTCTAATTGGTTAAGTTGCCCAATGCGAGCATTAAAGTCTCCTAAAACAACCCACTTATAATCTCCGTACACATATGATAAATCAGTTATAAATTCATGTAGTAATTCTAAGCTTGCCTTATTGTCTAAATTAGGGCTTATATACACAGACAAAATTAGGTATTTCAAGGTAAACATATTTAGTGATACACATATCCATAAATTCGTGTGGCTTACAACTTTAAAATAATTTAAAAGATTACTTTTTACAAACATAATTAATCCTCCACTAGCACGTCCTCTGTCTTTTTCCTTCACTGCTACGCTAACACAAAGTTTACTAAAGCTATTCATAAAAAATGGTAACGGATAATCCAAAGACGACATCCAAGTTTCACACAAAGCTATGACATCACTATTTAGTACAATATCCCTAGTATTCACGTCCATATTAGTAAAGTTATTGAAACCCGAGATATTCCAGAAGATAAATTTTAACACTTCATTTGCGTCCATTGTAGTTGTTGATTTCATGACATCTGCGACTGACGGTCTGTTGGGTTTAGTTAGTTTTTTGATTCCAGTAATTTGTCAGCTTTATTGTCCCAGTACCACAATTTCCCATCCACAAACAATTTCCGGTAACCTATCTTGGTGCGCTTGCCGTCTGCTTGCAAAGACTCTGCAACTTCTTTAATTTTGGCTTGAGTTTTTAGTTCTTCCGTCGTCATATCATTGTTTATGTAGACTTTTTTCGTATCCAAGTTTTCCTTCAGTTTTTGTTTGCAGCACATAACTTCTTGCTTGTCCTTCCATGAATCAAACTTCACCAACATTACACGCTTATCCTTCCCTAGCACGAGCACTTCTTTTGGTTTAACTGACACTTTTAATTTCCCTTGGAGAAGCTCTTCTACTATTCTTTCTTCATTGCCAGGGCACGCAGATAGACCCTTGATGACTATATTATTTTTCTTATCCAGTTTTTCTCGCCATTGTAATTTACGCTCAAGGGATTCAATCTTCTCTTCTAAAGAGTTAACAGTCAGTTGCCATTTTTGTTCGTTTTTCTTCATTTCTTCCTGCATTTTGCTGATGTCTTCCTTCCATTGGGCGTTTTCGGCCCTAATTAATTTCAGTTCTGAGACCACGCTATCCAACATTTTTTCAATTTTTTCCATACTGCCTGCTGACGTCGTACTTGTTTTATCAGGCGAACGGCTGACCTTTTTGCTTTTCGCAAAGGGACTATTTTCTTCGAGTGAGGTATCTAAGGGCTTTCTTTTGTAATAAGATGTAATGCTATTACTTCGCTGACGGTTATCCATAAAACAGTTTGTTCTTGAACGTGAGTTTAGTTGCCTATCGACCAGGCGCAATTTGCCTTCGTAATAAATGTATTGTTATCAACTTTAATAGTTATCAGTTATCAGTCTCTCCTTGACCGCTAAAATTTACAACCGATCTAACAGTGAAAATTTGCATTAGATTTAATGTAATTTTTTGAAAAAAATGGAGTACATTTACACCATGTTTTTACCCAAATTTGCTCCAAATGTTTTCCGTTTATGTTTGCACTCGGATCAATATTTATTCGGACTTCCTGATTTGCACAAAACAAATAAATCTACGGGAACATTATCAGAACCACCATGATGCATAAACTCTCACTCTCTACTCAAGACTCCTAGACTATAAATTATTATTGGTTGAGTACCACTGCAGTATTTGTTTGATCACTGTATTTGGGCTATAAAGCGGGAGGCCGGGTGTTCAAACCTGGGCTGAGGAAAGAGTTTTCATTTGTGACAGGAATTTCGTTAGACCAGTTTCAAGCATTCTGTCGGCTACTCCGAATTAGGTTTTCCTGCAGTCTTCCTAGTTCGTAAGGTAAATACCGGAGTAGTATAGAACAACTTAAGGCCTTCCACAGAAGCACGTATAAAAAGCATTATGCGTGTCACTCTGTAATTGGGTACAAGCGTGTCGAAGACCCAGAACAAGAGAGGAATAATAAATAAATCAATCAATCAATCAATCAATCAATGACAAACAAGCGAACAAATTAGTTTCTTTACATAATGTATTTGACTTATATACGGATTTATTAAACTGTAAAACTAGGAAACATAACTAGAGAGATTAAGTGATCTATCGATGTAGATACTTATCGTTACGTCGATGATTATCCACAGATCGGTAGTTGTCCATAGGTATATCGATAGTTATCGACGGCACATTTTCTTAAAAAAAGGGAAGTAGAAGCAGCAAAAGCTATGGGGAACCAGTACCATTTTTGGTGTATACCAAAAATTCAAATTCAAATTAACTCACGTTATTTCAAATTAATTCACGTTAATTCAATTTATTTCACATTAATTCACGTTAACTCAAATTAATTCACATTAATTCACGTTAACTCAAATTAATTCACATTAATTCACGTTAATTCAAATTAATTCGCATTAATTCGCGTTAATTCAAATTAATTCAAAGGGGTGTACACCAAAAATTCACAGTTGTTTCCCCCTAGAGCAAAAGGTTAAATCCGCTCCTATTGAGAATGTAGAAACTAGTTACTAGCGGACAATTCTAGTATAGTAGAGTATTCCAGTAGTAGAAAACAATCCAAACTAAAACTGCAATGGGGTGCGAAATGCTGTAGTAATACAATGAACAAAATCAAAACAAGCACAAGTTAATTACTTAATTATGTGTCAGGGTTATTCATTACAGCTCTGAAAAAAGGCAAACCAAAGGATCCCATCACCAAGTATTCATACTATTGGATGCTGCTACCTCCAATTACGCACTCTAAGTGCCACCGTGAAAAATTACACATTACTCACCCTCTGCTATATTACCAGGTTAATTGGGCGGATAATTAATTAAAATTGAAAGTATGATGTGATCGTTAAACTTCAAATCAATTTTTATCATTAAAAAACACCGATATCATTAGGATGTCCGTTCAACTTCCGACAAAAGTTAATTATACTTTTAATTTTTTTCCGTAAACATGTTTATTCACGATCATATTGTAATCAGTCTCATAATTGTCATTTTGAAGGATAAGGAAGTTGTGTTTTACAACACTTATTTTTCCAGGAGGGAGGAAAGTAGATTCTCGAGGTTAGTAATGTTCGATTCGAGGTTAGTAATATTTCATTACCTACCTCGATTTAGTTGCTAATATCCTAATGGATGGCGCTCTCATCGTAACTGTCTGTCACAGATGACAGCTGATTTAGATGCAAATTGTTCAAAACCGCATTTTAAAAACAATTCTTATTCTTATTATGAGTAATATGGATTATTTGGAACTGTTTTAAGTTGAAGAACTCCACCAGCACTTGCTAATATTGTAGCGATGAGATGCCAAAAACAATGTCCGGTAATTAAATGTAGGTAATTTGTCACGTTTTAGAAATAGATAATGCTATTTTTTAGGGCTATCGTATTGGAACAGGTGTTTAGTGACTACCTCATTGGATCTGGACAATAAATTTTTCGTTATTGACATCTACACAGATTATAATACTAATATTGTAACCCAGTCTAAAGGGTCGCTAGCATTTCGCATAAATACAAACACGCATAACTCCCATTTTGCATAAATTAAATAGCGTTTGAAAAAACGACGCATAAATGTCAAGTCGCATAACTCCCATTTTCATAAAAAAATAGTCATTTTCAAAATGTTCTCACAAATAAATTTCGCATAAAAAAAACTACGCATAACTGGCATTACGCATAACTCCCATTTTGCATAAATAAGTTTCTCGTAACTGGCATTTCGCATAAATTAAAGATGCATAAAAAAAAGTGTGCTAACTCCCATTTCGCATAAATGAAAGATGCATAAAAAAAAGTGCGCATAACTCCCATTTCGCATAAATATCCGTAACTGGCATTTCGCATAAAAAAAACTGTGCATAACTCCCATTTCGCATAAATGAAAGATGCATAAAAAAAAGTGTCCATAACTCCCATTTCGCATAAAAACAGGTATCCGACCAACGGCGGCGGTGGTCGACCGACCATTTCGGCTACTCTGGACGTTGACGTTTGCTTAAAAATCATCTGAATTAGAAACACAAACCGTGTCTGTTTATTCTTTGATGCAAACTAATGAAAGTATTCGTTTATTCAAAGACTAGTCCATGATTACTGTTGATAACTTCCCGTGCAAATTTTACTACTTTTATTATTTAACAGTCAAGTGTAAGAGGTTTAAGAGCGTTATACAGACTGTTTCAAATGGGTTAAGTCGGCATTATTGTTAATTTTCTTAGTTGTGTAGTTAGAAACACGGTTAACTTATCAAAATTGTATACTTTACCATTTTCTTACTGTATCCAAATATGTAATTAAACAAACAATTTTCGCATTTTCCAGATCATTACAAAAATGTGACAATAATATTCTCAACCGTATGTATTTTAACTACCTAGTTTTAATAGGGCGGCTATAAATCGATTGCCTCCAGCCAACTATAGTCAAATCGGGGTAACAATTGAGTATAATTAATAAATAGTGCATCATGGTACAAGTTTAAAGTTAAGTAATTGTCGTATTTAATTATCATGCTAGCAATATTTTCACATGCTAAATACGCCGATATGGTATTCATTTACGGTTTCTGAAATGGAACTGCCAATGGGAGCCATTGCCGAGTATCCCCATAGATTTCGAAATCGATGCACTCTGCAATTGCACCCTAATCTGACTATAGTTGGCTAAAGACAATTGATTTACAGCGGCCCTATTAAAACTAGATAGTTAATAGTATTTTTTGCACTCCTTCGTTTTAAATCGCGTTTTCCCAATAAAACACGAGCGTCGGGAACGTCAAGTTTACAATTGACTATCTACTTTCGCGCACTAGTGCCTAAAAATTCAACGAAATTATCTATTTAGTGCGGATCATAAACTAATAAGTAGTA